AGAAGAAGAAGAAGAAGAAGAAGAAGAAGAAGAAGAAGAAGAAGAAGAAGAAGAAGAAGAAGAAGAAGAAGAAGAAGAAGAAGAAGAAGAAGAAGAAGAAGAAGAAGAAGAAGAAGAAGAAGAACGGGAAAGGGAGATAGAAGGGTATTTTAGGAAGATTGGATATGAAAACGTATAATGGGAACTTTATTTCCGGACGGAGAAAAGCGTAGAATGGGAACTTGAAATCCGGACGGAGGGAGTATATAATTTCTATAATTTTTTAATATACAAATTACAAGATAAAATGGATTAAAGAAGTGCATTGGATGGTGTGTAAAAATGAAAGTAGACAAATACTCTAGGACGGAAGGAGTATATCACACAAAAAGTGATAAGCATTTTGTCTAGGATTTTAATCCCTAATTGCAATGCCCCAAAATCGAGTCTATTAGAATTAATTAATCTATCTAATTATTTAATGAATTAGACGACCCTAGAGTCTGAGAAATTACAATTTCAAGAAAACTTATTTGACTACATCAATAATTAAGATTTAACTATTTGATTCGAGAAATGTGTACGGAATTAAATTTGGACTTGATTTGACCAAGATTGAATTCTAGAGGAGTATTACATTAGGGAGAAAGACCAAAGTAGGACTAAAACATTGAAAATACACCAAAATAGGACTTCTATGTTTTTATTCTCGAAATAGGACTTACATTACCAAACATGGTCATATACATTACAAAAAAAATATAGTAATTTGTACATGTACACTGCCACATTATCACAATGCAAAGTCACATTACCATAGTGCAAAGTCCTATTCTGAAAAAAAAAACATGAAAATCCTATTTTGGTATTCCTCTCAATGTTTTAGTCTTATTTAGAATGATTTCTATATTATATTATTCTCCATAGTCTTGCATGTGAGCCTCCTAGGCATGAGACACCAAGAGAAAGGGTAAAGGCATTTTTCCGTTCACCCTTTTTGAAAAGCTCAACACACCCATTTGGTATATGATACTCCCTTTGCTTAGGAAAGAAAAGGAAAAGTAAGAGAGACTAATCATTGCTATCATAGTCTTGTTCCCTCAATAATTCTTTTCTATTTTTGTATGCTCACAATCTAGGTATGAGAGCATCCACAGTGGTAGCACCTCTCATTAGATGCCCACATGTGGGCTTTATTTTAAAGATAGTATTGCAACATCTCTTTGAACATCCAAATCTTTTAATGGTGACATCTCATTGAGATGCTTTGGGTGGATCCTATTCACATATAAATGCCATTTTTATATTATTAATTATGGATTTTTGTATTATATATAAAAGTGTTAAATATTGAGTAATTAATTATTAATTAAAAGATTTTTAAGAAAAAAAATAGTGTAAATAATTAAAAATATTATCAATGACTTTTTTTATTGTTAAAAAATTTTGATTAAAAAATTAAAGGCACGGTGGTATTACTAAAAATAAAATAGGGTGTCATATTTTTTTATGGAGTATTTATTTATTTATTTATTTATTTTGTGCACATCATACTCAATCAAATGTAAGACTATTTCAAAAAGATTTATGGCAAACTAAGGCTAACAATTTTTTATGGTATCACTACAAGTTAAGAAAAAGAAAAGAAAAAAAACTTTGGAAAATGGGTTTGTATAAAAAAAATGGTAAAGATTTTTTCCCGGGAAAAAAAGAGACACAAAAATGAAAAGAAAAAAAACATTAAAAAGAGAGTGTACTATTAAAAAAGCTTATTTTACAAAAAAATAAAAGAATGCACACATGATTTTGAATGCTAGCATCCGGTGCTCTCTTGAGCATCTCTCACTCTCTTTCTTCTTTGAACACCTACTCTAAGCATCTATCTCCAATAGTGGCACCTATAAACATCTTCTTCTCTCTCCTTTGAGCATCTCCTTTGGGCATCCCATTGGAGATGGCCTGATTGTATGAACAAATACAGGAATGGAAACCATCCTGGAGACGTGCGAGTTGAATGAATGCAAAAGTTTACACTTTGTTTATTGTTCTATTCGAATAAATGTTTTGGGCTTGCACCCACTTTTATAAAATGATTATATATCTGCTAATGATTCTGATCAATGTGATGCTAGGAAAAATGAGACGTACACAAGCCTTTATAACTGACCTTAGCTCTGAGGATCCTCCGCTGATCTATCACCCCTGACCTGGTGAAAAAGGCCAAGTAGAAGAAACTGGTTCCTAACTTCTTATATTACACGCACGCTAAGTACTTTTTCACCTAGAAAAAGCATACCTCTCTGTAAAACCTAAAGGGGTAATTTGACAGAGCACAGCAATTTAAAATAAAAAAATTGTGAATGGACATTTGGTGAATATCCATGAAGGCAAAGCCACACACTTGGCAAAAAAATTAGGATAAAAAGATGACATGATTCACACATTTGTGTACTACTCTGCATACAGGTGAAAATCAAGAATGAATGTTTTACATACCATCATATCTTTTTACAAAAATTTTTTTTACATACCATCACATAGTTTTACAACATTTTTTTACATACCGTCACATCTTAGAGACAAGAGTCCCTAGAAAGCAAAAATAAACCTACAACCCACACAGGATCACTAAGGTCTGTCACCCATCATACCTGTTCTGGAGGTTATTTTAGTTGACGTCTAAGGAATTCATGTATCCAACAAGGGCTGAGATGAGTACAGCTTCACTGTTGAATTGAAAACGAAGAGGGTAGAATTTTATATGGATTGAGAATTCCATTAGGATCAAGCAACCTCTTAACAGATGCCATTAATTGTACCTGGACAAAGAGCAAGCACGTGTCATCAAAACAGATATTATAGATCAGAATTGTGTAGAAATTTAGGTTCAGATTGCAATGGGTCCATTGCGAAAAGGGTTCATACGCACGCACAAACACTTCACATAGACTTGATGCAGTCACCTACTTGATGCAGTAAAGTAATGTCTCCTTTATTGACTGGTTGACAGATTTAGTGGTGAGTAATTCTAACAATAGTTATAACTCAAATGCCTATTTTATAGAGATTCTTGGACAACATCCTTTTAAAGAAACTCTGAAGAAAAACTACAATCTATTTCTTGTTTTCTTCATATTTTCTGAATGTTGAAGTTGCAAGTTTCAATGGCTGAATGCAAGTGAACACTTCTAGTAGTTGAGACTTGAGATACCATGGAAAAAATTGTCATAGGTTGGACTTGTACTTAATCATGACTCATGAGTCATGACATAATACTGTTAAGGAATGCTCATCACTGAACTCAACTTCTCCCTTCTCTAACTTCATTAGTGTTACCTTATGACCAGTATTGTAGGCCCACAAGGACAAATTTCCCCTACATGTGTCTAACTCTATTCTTGCTAACTCAAGGTCAACAATGTAAGCCTCCAAGGAAGTATTTTCCTAAAATTTGTGGGTGTGTGGCATTACAGGTGGAAACATGAAACATCACGTATATCAATGACAAACAAAGAAAATTGCAATGAGTATTGATATTACCGTCTCAGATGACTTGCTGTAATGAATTTTATTGGCTTTCATTAATCCAAGTCCATGCTCAGCACTGATGCTTCCACGATGTTTAGATGTCCACTCATAGACGAAAGGTTCGATTTGCGACAAAAGCTGCACAAAAAAGTATGTTGACCTGATTTAGCAAGTGAACCTTCATAAATATTGATGAGCAAACTGAATAAAGAAAGACATGAATACATTACATTGTCATCATACTGTGGCGCAGATATATTAAGATGTAGGTTTCCATCCCCAAGGTGACCATATCCTACCACTTTCGCTCTAGCATCTTTAAAATATGTACCAATGTCAGGATATGTGTGATCTTCTCATGTCAAATTCCAACACACACACACCCACAATCCCAAATTAATTGTTCATTTCAAACAACGTGCAAAATTTCATCTCTTTTAAAACGAATTTATTTACAAATTGTTCTAGAAATAAGAAAAAGTACAACATACATATTTAATAACTACATCAAAAGTTCTACAAAACAAGTGATGACATGCATATTTTATTTTATCAAATGATCAATAAAAATGTATACACAAACAAAAGTTATCGGAAGCCTGAAATAGTAAAGAGGCCTATTAATTGGGGACAGAGGGAGAGTATACATATATGGTATCATAATGGACAAAAGCTAAGGCATTATATTATAAAAATTGAGTAAATATATTCCTCTAAGATTTTTTTCACATTGAAAGAATGCTTAATTACCATACCATATGAACACAACACAAGCACCCTGATGCAACTGCATCAGGTGACGCGCATACATGTACTGCCGCTGCAACTGGTAATTTTCCTCAAATAGATCACACATCATAGATAGATAGTATTAGGGCCGTAAATGGCTAACCAAAAATTTGATTATCATCTGTATTTGTTTACCAGAAAAATATCTGCATCCGTTTAAAGCGGTTATTATTTGTATCTGATTAAGGACATCCAATTGGTAAACGGATACATATTTGGTAATCATACATGTGATTCGTTTATAAACCACTCCGCATGTACATCCGTTTGAATAACCATTTATATGATCCATTTTAAAAATATAATGATTTCTAGACTCCGTATTAAATAGTAAATTAGTAGTTATAGTTAATAATTTAGTTTTTTCGATTAGGGAAGTGAGACCATACTATATTTCCTAATTTTTTATTATTACATGCTATTTTCTATTTCTATCTCAAAGTGAAATATACGTATAGACACATAAATGTGTGTAGTGTGAAGTATGTTATTCCTTTTACCATATACGGATAGAGTTTATGTAGAAAAATATATATTACAAATAATAAGAAAAATATTACCCAATAGTGCAAAATTACAATTAAATAAAGATACTAAAAGTATTTATATACTCTATTTTTAATCGTATTTATTTATATACTCTATAGTTTAAATTAAGTTTAAAAAATAAGAAGCGAATACGGATATATTTGATATACCACAAAAATCTGACGGATGCAAATACAGTTTTGATATTTAGCATCCGACAAGTTCCGTATCTGAATACCCTTAGATAGTATTGAGTGAGGTGTGAACAAACAGAACTGTTATATAAAGCACGAAGCTCAAAACTGTGGTTACCCTAGGTATCACTATAAATACATGCATCTTTAAACATATGTCAGGGAGCTAATTACCTAGACAATAACAACATCAACAACAACAACCCAGTATAATCCAAACACTGTTGGGTCTGGGAACCCTATACAAAAAGAGAAGCTATTTTCGTTAGACCCAAGATGCATTGCTGCTTTTATTGCCCAAAACATCATAGAGAGTAAAACACAAGATATAATATGTCTTTTTATTTAGTCCATTATGTGCCTGAGACTAAAACATTGTCAACGGTGACTCTTTAGCTATACAGCAATGGACGGGAGTTAATTACCTAGACGTGTTCGCATTTCCTCAACTAGATCATTCATTTTTTCAATAGGTAGTGACAAATCATATTTGTATACAGCTCCGGCATTCTTCAAAGCTTCAGGTATACCCTGTGATTCATGCATTGCCATGTTAATCGATTGAAAACATGAATGCATAAATGGAATGAGTAGGGGAATAAATGTGAACCTCGCGAATATGCCAGCATGATGATGCTTGATTTATATCCTGTGCAACAACTCCATCAGGTATCAAGCCACTTTCCATTGAATCTAGCAAAAAGGTCTCCAATCTCTCCCTAGTTCCCAATGGAAATCCAGGAAGCATCAATACGTACTTCCAACAGAGTAGGAGTCTTTTCCTTCAATTGTAATGGACTTGGCTTCTGATGACTTAGGGCCCTTGATGCCCACTTAATAAATTTTCTTTGGATTATAATAAAATTACTATTAACAAATACATTTATGACGCATAAAATTCGTGAAGCGTATTTCGTAACACAAATACAATTTAAAATTAGTGATAAAGTTGCTAAAATACCTAACAGAAAGTTAACTTTCTGGAAAATTAATGACCAAATAGAGCATGAGAAATGTAGTAACTTGATAGGTATAGATCCAATTAAAGCACACTATGTGTCCGTTCCATTCAACTTACTTTTCAGCTTATTACTTATTCTAATTAAAATCAGATCAGATCAGCAGATCTAATAAGATCGGATCCAATCAGATCATACCAAATCTAATCATATTACATCATATTCAATCAGATCAGATCAAAACCAATCAAATTATATTTTGTAAGATTAAATTAAATAAATCAAAAACAATATTGAAAATATAATGCAAATATTTTTATATTCTTACATAATAATTGGTATATGATTAACCTGTGTTGCATTATTTAAAGTTGCATATAATTTACTAATAATTATTATTATAATTTTATATACAATTAAGTAATAATAATATTGTTAGATATGATTAAATAATACTTATTATTATTATTTAAGTAATTATAATACTCTATTTGTTACTAAATCATGGTCCTCTTTCGGAAAATGTAAAAAATGCAACTCTTTAAAAATAATTTTATGTATAAACTATAAAAATAAAGAGTACAATTTACATATTTAAAAACTAATCAAAAAGTTCTACAAAACATGTAGTGACATATCTATTTTTGTTATCAATTAATCAATAAAATTATATATGCAAACAAAATTTATTGAAGGCCTGTAATAGTATACATAATATTTTAAGATGGGAAAGAGCAATAATTTTAGTAATTATAGTCTCTCCGTCCTATAAAAAATTTACTTATTTTGTCTTTACACAAAATTAAAAAAGTATGAAAATCATAGGAATATTAAAAAGTGGTTAAATTCTTTCTAAATGGAAGCAAAATATATTAGAATATATATACACACACACACACACACACATATATATATATATATGTATACACATACATACATACATATATATATATATATATAGAGAGAGAGAGAGAGAGTGTGTGATTTTTTTAGAGACATCTGGAAATAGAATACTCCCTCTGTCCCCCTAAGATGTTCTCATTTTGACTTTTGGTGGTTTTTAAGGAGAGTTGAAAAAAGGTGAAAGATTACAATAATACCCTTAATGAAAATGGGTGGAGTGTAGTAAATGAGGTGGGTGAGGTGTAATAAATAAAGTAAGTGAGGGTAGTTGTGGTATTTTGATTGTTAAAAAATGAAATGAGAAGATCTATTGTGGACTAAGAAAAAGGGCTAATGGGAAGATCTATGAGGGACGGAGGGAGTATTATTTTAGCACTATTTCTAACACCAATATTATGATATCTACATTTTTAACATGATTAGCATGGGGTATACAAAACTTCTAATTTTGTAACATAGTATCCATATTTTCCAATAATTGGTTATTGTCAATGATTTTCTTTTTCTATATCTTTAGTATATTACTCACTTTTTTGTTTCATATATCACATAAATCTATAATAATAATAATAATAATAATAATAATAATAATTATTATTATTATTATTATATTTATAATAATAACAATGATGATGATGATGGTGGTGATGATGATGATAATAGTAGTAGTAATAGTAATAATAATAGCAACTAATAATAGGTGTCTCGATTTAACTGGTGTCACAATCTTACACCACTTGGAGTGGTGTAAGATTACAACTCCTCTAATAGTAATAGTAATAATAAAGTTATCATAATGATTTTAACTTTTATTTGGATCAGATTAGATAAGATCCATCCATATCAGATCTAATCGGATCGGATCACGTACAATCACATCAAACCAGATCACATCCAATCAGATCAGACTAGATCTTTGAAAAATGAAATCAGATCCAATCAGATGAGACAAACAGAACAAAGCCTATGTGAGGAGGATAGAAAATAGTTACTTGTCATGAATTTCGTTGCTCCCTGTTGTCTCTATCAGGACGTAGAAGTTGTAAGTAGAGGACGGTAATGGATTACGAACACCATTTAAATGTTTCAAAACCTGTTGCACACACCATAATAATAGTGCTAAATTACATTACTTAGTGATAATCTCTTTTTAATCACATTCGAGTTCATTATTCAGGAGCACTCGAACTGTTGAAAGTTCATAAATATTAACATTCAAAAAACATTACCATTTACTTGACCTTGATAAAGAGAGAAGTGCAAGTGTATCTACCATAGTAACACAACATATTTTCTTATCATTTCTAAAACGATACGACTTTATGTGCTGAACAATATATGGAGTAGAATACAACTAGAATATTGACTGACTAAATTTGGCCTCCATTCTTCACTGATTCGTTGATTTAATTTTACTAGAGACTATTGCACAACCAAATTCTGGCACACTGAAAAAGTGAGGGTGAATTAGAGTAATTACATAACAATTTCCATCTGAAAAAAAACTATAAGGATGACGTTTTTGGAATTTCATCTCATTATTCCTTCACAAGAACTAAGAAGGTTGTGAAACAAAGAGTTTACATGCTAAAATTTTTAGTCTTTTACGTTATGCAATTTTCATAAATTAGTGTTATTTAACTTTTGACGATATATACTTAATATCACCAACCCCACAACACAGTTGGAATTATATGACGTTGTTGTTGATGATGATGATATAAATATGGAATACCATTTATAAGGACAATCCTGAAAAATCTTTTCAAGTACACTTGAAGCAAGCACAATGAGGATAAAGTGCACGAAGCAAATGCGCCCTCGTTATTGATCCTTCAAGGAACAAATAGTTTACACACTTCCCAACTTATGAAAGGTGCAAGGGTGCAAGCTATATGGGTTAAAGGATATCTATTGGGGCACAAAAAATTAAAATGATTTTATACATAAATCATGGAAACAGAGGAAAAAGTACACCAGATTGTTTAATAACACCACTTCCTGGTCTAGGGGATGTACACGAACAACACATAATACTTACCAGATCCATTGCAGTGGAATCCAAATATTCAAATGCAGACAGAATTTCCCCGAGCTTCTTTTTTGCATTCCACAAGAGTTTCTATGCACAGGATCACCAAAAACATAAAAGTTATAATTAAGGTAGTAGCGTAAGTCATAAATCTATGTCCAGATATGGCTAAAGGTGCAAAATATTCCAAAGCTGAACAAAAAAACTCAAAAGTGGATGTTTCTTTTCAGAAAAATAAAATCATAGAGTGAATGCCACATGATAGTCCTAACAAACTAACTGTACTTCAACCAAGTCACCAAACAATTCAAAATCGACATGTACCAAAAAAGGAAAATAATCTCTTGATGGAAGTTATCAAACAGATCCAAGCAACCAAAAAACAGTAATAGAAATTCAAAAGTACCGTGAAATGAGTTTCAGAATGATATCTCTTATTACCTGGCAGCTGGCATAATCATTGCAAGCAAGAAAGCATAGGTTTACTGAAGACAACTTTGGAGGAGTAAGTATGGAAACCTTAGTTATGATCCCCAGGGATCCTTCACTTCCTAGACGGTTAAACCGCACACAAGAATAAAACACTTGTTTAGAGCATAAACAAAACCCAGAGCTGGAAGGAAAAGGAGTATAAGATTACATAATTTCACCAATAAATAAATGCTTCAAGTCGTATCCGGTATTATCTTTTCGTAAAGTTCCAAGCATGTCAAGCACAGTGCCATTTGGTAAAATAGCTTCAACACCTGAAGATTAGAAAGATGAACTAATTTCAACATGTGACAATAGAAACTGAAGATATGTATGGGTTTGTAGAATCACATCTTGCATAATATGAATACATATATAATGGTAAAAGATTTTAAACTGTACAATGAAAGGAAAAGATAGTCAACATTTTGAGAGACTCCCCTCCCTAGAACCTCTCTCTAGAAATTGTGATTCAAATTGGAAAATTAAGAATAGGCAAGTAGCTTACGTTGACTATGGGATTACATAGAGATTGTCGCACGGCACATGCAATGTATGACATCATTGAGACATCACCCCGATAAAGGCATCCACGGCATTACTTCTTCCACTTACACTAAGTTTGTCCCCAAGCTCAAAAACTGGAAAACCCTCAACAAAGAGGTGAAAGGATTCCCACATGCACTCCGCACTCAATTAGTTTGCCCAACAAGTGAACTAGCAGCTCCAACAGACTCCCATGAGCCGAATCCATTGTGTAATATCACATATGAGCAAATTTCAACCAGTGAATCATCAATAAAAGAAAGGAACCCTAGTATTGATGGCACATGCCGTTTGGAGATTTCAATAAGGAAACAAGAAAGACGTACTGAATGAGACGACAACTTGGGATGGTATGCCAAATGACCAATGCACACAGAAATATTAAATGGACCAAATTACCTTGGTAAGATCTTGTGACAGTGAAGAACCAATGAGAGCTGGTGGGATGGATGAATGTAGAACCAAACCTAATCTCCCAGTTCAAAGGATAAAATCTCAACGCCCCTTATCATACTGGAACATATCGCATTGTTGAGCATGGAACTCATCCGCATCAAGTTTAGCCATGCCCAGAGTGTAATGGATGTGTTTGGGAGGATCATGGAGGCAAAAGTTGTGAGACCGAATGGATTCAGGCATGACGCAAGTCGTAACAAAGATAGCTGTAGAAGAGAATAATAAAGTGTGTCACCTTGGACAATTGATTGATTACTACAAAAATAACTGACTCACAACACACATTCAGCAGCCGCTCTATGATATTTGATTTACTCGTCTTTCATTTGGACTCTATTTTCGGATGGGCGATCTTGAAATGGGCTTACAAACAAATTGAACCAAAAAAATGCCTGCCCGCCAAAACCGAAACCGAATTTTCAGTCGGTTTGGTTTTTTAAATATCAGTTGGAGAGTGAATTCGGTTAAAATGCTCACTCCTACTTTCCATCACACCCCCATGTTTGAGCATAGGATTAGGTCCAACTTGTGACATAAGAAATTAATCCAAGACTCATTCAATGCTTTTTGTGAAAAGGTCTACAAGTGGGTAAATTTCAAAAATGGTACCTCAACTTTCACGAAAATTTCGATTCGGTACCTAAACTTCAAAACCTTTCAAAAAAATCCATGAACTTTGAAAACTTTTCACGAATGGTACCTGAAGCCGGTTTTCAGGTAACCAGCAGGTCATTTGGGCCAAATTTTAATTTTTTGTATTTTATAATTTTTAAATTGACCCTATTTCTTTTTCTTCTTTTCCCTCCCCCACCCCTTCTTTGTCTTCTTCTGCTTTCATCCCTTTTCTTCTTCTTCTTCTTTCACCCCATTTTATTCT